GCCCGGGATCCGAACCAGCGAACCCCGGGCCGCCGCAGCGGAGCGTGCGCACCCAACCGCTTGCGCCACCGGGCCGGCCCCATGAAATGTTTTTTTAAATTAGTTTTTTGGGATTATAAATATAATTTTAACAGATTGCAAGGTTTTCCAGACATGACTTGAGCATGCTTTTGGTTTTGTGAGAAGTAAACAAAAGAAGGCAATGTGAATAAGTAACAAGAAGTTACAAATCTGAATGTCACTATAACTACTAGCTTGGTCTTTTTTCAAGAAAGCTTTGAAATGTGAGTGCCTGAAACTGATTCCCCGTGTATCTTGAATAAAAGAATAAATTATAACATTGCAAAATTATGGAAAAGGTGAGAGTGTGGGGCTTGAGGCCTACCAGCTGTTTTTTCAGTGTGGATAGGTAGGTCGCTGAACTAGCCCAGCATCTAGTATCCCAGAACCTGGAGTGAGACTTAGATGGCCCTTCGGATTCTCCTGTGACCCTGGCTTCTTTTATGTTTTCTTACCCACTACAGGGCCGAGTTCCTGGCTACTTTGACCACTAACAGAATCACCCTTTGAACTCACAAACCCCATTCCTCTGGCCTCCTGCTCAGTCTTTCTGGTCATTACCTCACGTGATCACCCACAGCGTGTGCATATAGAGTGAAGCTTTTAGCAGCAATATTTCTGGAAGTTCCATTTAGTTCTTTTCATGTCTCCTTGGTGGTCATATCTAATTCTTGTTTATGTTTGTTTTTCTAGCCTTTATTCCTTCCTTAGAGTATTTTATATATAGCTGTTATGTATTTGACAGTTTCAGTATCTGAAGTCCTGGGGGTGGGGAGTGGGGGTCTAAATCTGTATTTGTTCTTCCTCCTGACCCACAGTCATAGTGGCTTCCTCCTGTGATTGCTGATCTCTGACTATGAACTTATGTTTACATGACCTAAATGTTTGGGAATATTGAGAGCCTCCATTGGGGGTGTGTTCCTTTAGAGAGGAGTTTCATCTGCTTCTGCTAGGAATCAGAGGTTGCCACCAACCTGGGACCACTTTAAGTCTCTTTGATAGTCCCAGAACTGAAAGTTTCAGTTAAATGATTTTAATGTCTTGTGGCACCAGCTGCTTAAATGCCAGTGCATCCATCTCCACAGTGGGGAAATACCTGCCTGTGGGAGTTGGTAGGTCCTGTTCTGGTGTCAGGGCGTTTTCTCCCCTGCAGTGTGTTTCCACAGCTTATCAACCTCCTTTTGACAGACCCATTCTCCAGATGTGAGGCAGTAGAGCAGATGCAATTGTTAATAGCCTTGGCTGTGGTGTCAGCACACCTGGGTTCTAATCTCAGCTCTACCACTTGTCAGCTGTGGCATCTGGGCAAATTATTCAATTGCACTAAGCCCCATTTCCATGACTATATATTCCATGAATATAAAAAATAGTAATAGTGTTCATTTATTAGTATTATTGTACAGAATAAATGAGATCATGCATAAAAAGTGCTTAGCATGGGTCTTAGCACAGAGTAAGTACTCATTAATTGATACCTACTGTCGTCATTAGAAATATTACTAAATTTGTTAAGTTCCAGTTAAGTTTTGATGGTTTGGAAGTCATTTAAGTCTCTTTGAATTAACTTCTGTGTCTATTTATTCCCATTCATTGTCTTGATTTTTTAGTTTAACTCAGGCGGTTCTTTTTTTTTTTGTGAGGAAGATCAGCCCTGAGCTAACATCCGTGCCAATCCTCCTCTTTTTGCTGAGGAAGACTGGCTCTGAGCTAACATCTATTGCCAATCCTCCTCTTTTTTTTTTTTCCCCCAAAGCCCCAGTATGTAGTTGTATGTCATAGTTGCACATCCTTCTAGTTGCTGTATGTGGGACGCGGCCTCAGCATGGCCAGAGAAGCGGTGCGTCGGTGCGCGCCCGGGATCCGAACCCGGGCCACCAGTAGCGGAGCATGTGTGCTTAACCACTAAGCCACGGGGCCGGCTCCAGGCAGTTCTTTTATTTTGGATTTTGAGGTTCCTCATTTTTTGCCTCCTGATACCATATACCTTTCCATGTGATAAAGAAACTAAGATATGGTACTTATAATACTTTAGAATGATGTTGACTCTCTCAACTATATGAAATTGTGATTTTATTTTACCCATATTCATAAACTTTGTATTAAACTGGAATCTTTTGAAATAACCAGTTATACTAAATTTTAAAATATAAAACAGCATGTTGTATCATTTATTTTTCCTGATTATAAAGATAATGTATATTTATTGTACAAAATTGGGAAAACTATAGAAAAACATGAAGAAGAAAATGAAATCTTTTGTAATCTCCTATAGTCTATCTATATAGGAGCCAGAGCGATCCTTTTGGTATAAATCAGATCGTTCTACTTTCCTGCTCTCCACAGCCCACTGACTTCCCAGAGTCTTGACCATGGCCTACAAGGGCATGCGGGTCTGCCCCTGACTGCCCCCTCTCCAGCTTCCTTCCTCCTTCTCTGCCCCGGCTCTCTGAGCTCCAGTCACCTTGGCCTCCTGGCCATTCCTCAGACAACATCAACCACCTTCCCACCTTAGAGCCCTTACATGTGTCCTTCTCTCTGCCTCAATTGCTCCTTCCCCACATAACCACATACCTGCTCCCTTCCTTCCTTCCTTCCTTCTAATCTTTGCTCAAATATCACCTTATCAGTCCTTCCCAGACCACCTAGTCTAAAGGACCACCTCCATCAGTACTCTCTTACCCTACTTGATTTTTCTTCATAATCTCATTTTCTGACTTTGTATTGTGTGTTTATTTCTTCTCTGTTTGTTGTCCATCTGTCTCACAAGAGTGAGGGCCTTTGTTTAATTCACCAATGTATTCCCAGAACTTACAGTAGTGCCTGGCACAGAATAGGTACTTAGTAAATATTTGTGGAATGAATGTATCCTACTGCTCAGAGATAGCTATTGATGTTTTCATGTGTTTTCTTCCTGTTTCTTTTTTTGTTTATGCACGTTTATATGTGTATATTTTACTATTTGTGTGTCTGTATACTTAAACTATTTAAAATTAAAGTACCCCTGTATAATTTTATGGCCTGCTTCTTTCATTTACTATTATGAGAATTTTCCAGTGTTGTTTAACATTTTTCATAATCATAATTTTTTATCTTCTCCATTGAATACACATTCCATCCCTATCTCCTATTATTGGACATTTTGTGTTTGTTTTCAACAACTTGGTTTCTAAATCTCTTTTCAGAAGGGCATATACCGCGTCTCTAGGAGAGACAGCAGTTGCATTTGACTTTGGGCCTTTGGCAGCAGTCCCGAAGAATATATTTGGACAAAAGGGCAAAGATGAAGTAGTGGCATACCCACTGTACATCTTATATGAGAATGGGGAGACTTTCCTTACATATGTTAGTTTGTTACACAGGTAAGTTGAGGAGGTAACCCACCTGAAATGAAAACCCAGCTTGTTTGCCACAAGTATGGAGTGTCATAGTTGGACTTGGGATCTGGGTTTTGAGTTTGTGGAAGTGTTGCAGCCTTGCAATACTTGGCTTGCATATTTTGGAGAAAGAATTGGTAAAGATCATTTGACCTTTCATTTCATCATGTTGTTTGGGTGAGTTCTGTAGAATTCTTGGATAATCTCTCAAGGTAAGACTGGATTTGTTTTCACAAAGTCTGGTCAACCAAAAAAGTATTTATTGTGTGTCTTATATGAACAAGGCACCATGGGGATGGTTAGACATGGTAATCTGGTATCTTACGTCCCAGTTGTGGAGAAAAGACATATAAACATACACCTGAAAAGATAATTACCCATACCACATTATTGTTACACAGACAGTAAGAATCCAGAGGAAGGAGAGAGCATTCTGCCTGAAGAAGTTAAGGAAATTTTCATAGAGAAGGACTGATGTCATGTGGGACTTAAAGATCTAATGCAGGATTAAATGAAGCATCAAGGGAGGGTAAGATTGTGTTAGTCACAAGGGCAGCATGAAGTAGAGTATGAAAACAAGCAAGTGCAAGTGTCCTTCCAAGTTCAGTGATTAGACATTTGGGGCTAGGGCAGAGGATTCAGTTAGGGGGCATTAAATGATAAAGCTGGAAGTATCTGCCCAGGAAGAATTTGGGGGAGTTAAACACCTAGTTAAGAAACGTGGAGTCTTTTCTGTAGGAATAGAGTAGTAGGAAGCCAGTGATGGTTTTTAAACAGGAGAAGGATAAAATAATTGTTAGGGAAGAGAGATTTTTAAAAAAGTTGTTACAAAATTTAGTTGTAACACAAAGGGAGAAATGAACATAGTAGATACTACAAAGGAAGAATCAATAAGATTTAGTTACTGTTTGGATAAGGGAGTGAGCCATTAACAGAAATATGGAGGTCAGGAAGGGCAGCTAATGTGGGGGGGAGATTTGTTACTGCAGATTTGACACTGTATTGGACCAATAAAGTGGAAATATTCCGTGGACAGTTAGAAATACAGTACTGGAAAGAAGATGAAGGTAAAATAAATAAGAATCGTCTGTCATGGTGAGAGTTAGAGTCAATAGAGGATCAGAATTTTGGGAAAGTTTGTAACTAGAGAGGCATAAGGCCAAAGCCTGAACATTGTAGTTTATTCATTTATCAATCAACCAGACAGTTATTTATTCGGAGCCCCCTCTGTGACAGAAGGTGAGAATACAAGATGGAAGGCAAGGTCCCTGCTATATGGTTCCTTGTCTACTGGAAAGTCATACAACAAACCAGTAACTGAAGTCCAGTGTGGTGTGCTCAGGGCATCACAGGGCGCTGTGGGGGTGAGACAGAGTAAACGCTTAGGGCTGCCTGTCTTGGAAGACTCAGAAGATGGTTATACAAAAGCTAGGACCTGAATTCACTAGGTAAGAAACAGGAGCAGAAGTGGTTCCAGGAGAGAGAAGCAAGTATGCAAAATGGTAAAGATGAGAAAGATGAAAGAGCTTGATAGATTGCAGAATGGTGAGGGTTCACTATCAGTTGCAGTTGCATTCTTCCTGACAGAAATGTTCTCTGCCTTTCACACATGATCTCTCTTGAGAGGCTTTTGTTGTAACGTTATTACCCTCCCTTACTCTTCCTCCCCTCCCCCTTGGCCTTCATTTGTCCACACTGTGCTCTACCTAGTAACCTTAGCCCAAAACCTGAAAGTCATCTACATCCTCTTACATACAGTTCAGTCCCAGAATTCTATTGATTTTACCATGAACATTTCTTGAGTGTGTGCACCCTTCTCTCCGTTCCTCTGTCCTTGCTTTAGACCCTCATCTTCTGCCGAGATTATTCTTGTCTTAGAGAGTTGCCCTAAATCCCATTTTGGTCCCCTCCATGTCACCCTCCTCACTACTGCTCACTACCAGATCAATCTTAGTAAAGTGAAGCTCTGTCACTCCTGATTTAAACCTCTAGTGACACACTGTGACCCAGCAGGTAGACTCAGAGCACTTTAACATAGCGTATTAGAGCATCTGCTTCATAAGCCAGTCCTGAATGTCTGCCTGGCTACTTTTCTGTTGCTGTAGACTTTGCACTTTGCCTCCCATCATACTAAGCTGTTTCCTTCCTGTCATTTCCTTGTCTTTCATGCCTCCAGAACTTTGTATATGCTGCTCCCTAGCTTGGAATGTTCACCACTCCTTACCAGAATATACTCTTTCCACATTGATCTTGTTTATTTTTGATACCTTTCTTATACACCTCACTTTTCCTTTGTACCTTTCTGTGTTCCTTTGTATCCTCTAAGTCCTTGCATTGTTACACTTATCACATGGTATAGTGATTCTAATTAAATGTTCATTTCTCCAACTAAACCATCAGTTCCTTGGGAGTGTCATCTAGCACTCAATAAATATATCTGTCTAATCCAATTAAATATGTGGGTCTGAAGCCCTGAAGATAAGCTGTATTTCAGAAGAAAAGATTTGGGACTCATCAGTTTATAGATAGTAGTTAAAACCAGGCATAGTTTAATATGTTTTCATATAAGTTAGTATTTTGGAAAAGAAGAGGGCTTACAACAAAATCTTGAAGAGCACCAATATTTAAGAGACAGAAATTAGAAAGGGACATTAGAAAGGTGTGTTCAGAGAGATAGGAAGAGAGAACTAGGAGAAAGAATTGTTAGAGATGTTAAGGGTGTTAAGAAGCAATCATTGTTAACCAGCGATAAATGTAGCAGGAGGTCAAGTTAAGTGCCTTTTGAATTTGGCAACTAGAATCTCATTGGTGGTCTGTGCCAGAGAGTAGGTTCTGTGGAGTGGTGAAGGCATAAACCATGGTCAATTTAGGGCAGGGTTTTTGAACTTCTGTACTATTGATGTTTTGAGCTGAGTAATTCCATATTGTAGGGGGCTGTTCTGTGGGGAATGTTTAGCAGCGTTTCTGGCCTCTAGACACCAGTCCTCCTCCCCTCCCCCCGGGCTCCCAGTGGTAACAACCAAAAATGTCTTCAGACATTGCCAGTTTCCCCTTGGGGGTAAAATTGTCTCCAGTTGAGAAGCACCAGGGATGTAGAAATTGAGTGGGGAAGTGAAAAAGTGGAGACATTGGGAATATACTATCTTTTTAATTAGGGTGTGATATCTGGAGAAGGGCAAAGACAAAAAAGGGTTTGAAGTGATGGACATGGGTATCATCTGTCAACAGTTCCCAAATATGTTTTCACTCTTTCTTTAGCCCTGGGAATATCGGAAAGCTGTTAGGTCCATTGCCCATGCATCCTGCAGCTGAAGATAACTATGGTTACGATGCTTGTGCTATACTCTGCTTACCCTGCGTCCCCAACATCTTAGTGATTGCTACTGAATCAGGAATGCTATATCACTGTGTTGTGCTGGAAGGGGAGGAAGAAGATGACCAAACAGTAAGTTAGGCTAGAGTGGGTATATTTGTACTTCCAACACCTACTATAGTTCCTGGACCAGTAGGAATGCTTATTAATATATGAGGAATTCTCGTTTTTGTCTGGCACTTCTGTATATTTTGGATGTTAAGCACTTAAAATTAATTGAAGCCCAATTACAAATCTAAATGGAAAGAAGTTAGTGGGTGTCCAGCTTACTTGGTCCACCCTACATATTTCGTTCTGAACTCTGAATTGCAGTCTTCAGTGACAGTTATAAAGAACCTTTGAATCACCGAAGGGGCTCTTCTCTAAACTTGTTTATTTATATCTTCCTAAAAGAAGAGAGAGCTCTTTTCTCTTTTAAGAATGACAAGGCATTGTTAGAATAAGGGGTGGAATTAAGAAGAATTTGAAAGTACTATTTGATCCAGCTTTTTGCTTCTGTTTTTAATTGTGTACATTTTCAAATGAACATGAAAGAGTAAAATTACTATGCTTTTTTTACAGTCAGAAAAGTCCTGGGATTCCAGGGCCGACCTCATTCCTTCTCTGTATGTGTTTGAGTGTGTTGAGTTGGAGCTTGCCCTGAGACTGGCATCTGGAGAGGATGATCCCTTTGATTCTGACTTTTCTTGTCCAATCAAACTTCACAGAGGTAAAGTATTCACTAAATTCAGTTCTTGGGGCCAGCCCGGTGGCGCAAGCCATTATATGCACACGCTCTGCTTCGGCGGCCCGGGGTTCATGGGTTCGAATCCCAGGCGCACACCGATGCACCGCTTGTCATGCCATGGTGTGGCGGCGTCCCATATAAAGCAGAGGAAGATGGACACAGATGTTAGTCCAGGGCCAATCTTCCTCAGCAAAAAAAGAGGAGGATCGGCATTGGATGTTAGCTCAGGGCTAATCTCTCTCACAAAAAAATAAAATAAAATAAATAAAATAAATTCAGTTCTTTTATTCCATTATATATACACTAAGACCATCACAGACTATTCCCATGTCATTTATCTGTCCTCTGTTTCCAGCCTTTAAC